GATTGGAGGCCAAATCCCAAAGTTGATTACAAACCCGTTGGCAACAAACCAACTACTTGGAGTAAGCAGTATGATGAGAAGAAGAGGAGTAATTTAACACCTCGAGGTTGCTTTATTTTCAAAGGACCACATCTCATGAGGGATTGTCCTGAGTTGGAATCATTGGCATCTATTTCCATTTTGAAGAGCAAATCGGAGGCCATAGATAGCCAAGATGAGGATGAAGTTCGAATGAATTCATTCCAGTTGTTTAATGCTATGAGTGTCGAAACAGTTTCTGTGGGGATGGAAATACAACAACTGTTAGGGATGCAGTTTGCGGAAGTCCTTGAAGATGATAAGGACATTATGCTCGCGGAGTTGCCGAGGGAACTACCGAAAAAGAAGGAAAGTGTGGAAACATTGTTAAAGAAGTCCGAAATTGGGTGCACGAAGGTTCAAAGCTTTGACAAGTGTGGGGACACTACAACCAGAGGAGTTGTCCATCCGAGGAACCAAGGCAGAGGTGCTGAGGGTGAAGGTTGGTGTCGAAGGTGGCATGCAAGAGGTTGCAACGGGACGAGGTGCAAGGGGCACTGTGGAAACCTGGTCATCGAGGAGATGGTGCCGCAAGTTGGGAGAACTTTAATGCCCAGGGACGTGAAAGACAATGCAAGGTTGCATGAGGATGCACCGAACACGTTTCGCTACGAGGACGGTAGCGGATTGAGTGGGGGAGAATGTCACGGATCGCAAGGTCATGACTTGAAACTTGGCATAACACGGGAATGTCATGGCACAAGGTGGGAAAATGAGATAGATTTATGGGAAATAAGGTCTATGCTTCGGCGATATATGGCGATGAGGGTGTCGCCAAATTCAGTGGGGGAGTAACTTACGCTACGCGGTCGCGTTCGATCCGTCCCGGTAGGGATCGCAAGACAATGTGGGTAATGCGTTTCAGAAGGACGGAACAGCTTGCGATAGGGGACGCAGGCAAATTCGGCAAAGGTCGCAGGTAGACTCGGGTTGGGGATGCATAGATGATTTTGGGGCAGAATGCAGACTGCCTAGATCGTGCAATTTTCCAAGGCGTTAATGAGGTTTTTCTAAGTCCCGATCCAGCCATTTTGGGAGGAAAAATATTTGAATCTGCGGCCAGATATTTTGAGGATGCAAGTGGGTAACTTGCACAACTTGTCCACTTGCAAGTTAAGCGCGAGTTATATGCAAGCTAAGCACGAGTTGACAAGGATAAATATCAACGATGCAAGCTAAGCGCGAGTTGTATGCAAACTAAGCATGAGTTGGCGACAACTTGCAAGGCAAGTTGTAAGACAATCCTCTTGAAGACAACTAAGAATGAGTTGACGACAACAAAGAATGAGTTGACGACAACTAAGCACAAGGTGGCGACAACTAAGTACGAGGTGTAAAGTGGAATGTTAAGGAGGTTTAAGTTTTCCTATAAATAGAGATGGAGTCTCATTTGTAAATGGTATGTAGTGTATGTAGTAGATGGTAGAGAATGTAGAGTGAAGTGAGTTTATTCTTTCAAGAAAGATTGTAAAGTTTTTTCCTTTCATTTATACAAAGAAAGTTTCCCCATCTTTACTTGTTTTCCATATATTACTTACTTCAAAATTCTCTTCTCAACATGGGTATAATTTAACCTCATTGGTTAGATTATTTGTGGGAGTGGAAAGACTGACTTAACGTTTTCTCGTGAAATGCGAAAATTGTAGAACGTTAAGGCCGCACGGTTCTAGTTTGTTCGGGTGTAACGAAACTAGGTCCGTGACACCGTGCTCTCATACCAATTACTTAAAAATTTTCCTCTCTTCAATAATGACCAACAGACTTGCATACGCAAAAAGAAGACGCATAAATGATAAAATATAAACCAAGGAGAGAAACAAGACTATGAACACAAGAGTTTCTTGTTTTGGGATCAAAATACTACAACCAAGGCAGAGAATTAATCCCCAGTCAGTGTACCAGTCTACCATATAAGAAGATATTACACAATGGTGGCTTTATACAAATCACCAGCACTCACCACTCAACCGAGCTTCTTCAGAAAAACTCACAGAAAATTTACAACGATGGTGTACAGAACTCTCTCTCACTATCTTACTTTCTCTTATACAGTATATGATCCCCCTCACATCAACTCATCAACTCCTAGTCCTATTAATGGACACAGGACCAAAGAGATTTACAAGCAATGTATATATGATTCTGTTACAACTAATAACAGCAATTCTGTTACAATTTTTGAGGATCCAACTGATTGCAACTCACTTAACTGATGAGTTTAACAACCAAGTCAAGAATCAACATCTTCTTTACACAAATATTCAATATGAGAGAAATTTCAAAAGCATCAATTGTATTACCTTTTCCTGAACCAATGGATGAAGAATACAATGAACTTCCTTGACAAACTATTTATAAATTAAATACGATCATTAAGGAAAAAGAAAACAAAAATTTGTCCAGAAAGAGTACAAGCAGCCGCACTCTGTGACGAGTAGAATCACAAACTATTATGCTACAACCTGCGAACAACTTGAATTAGGCACTAAGAGGGTGTTTGACACCCATTTTTATGGAAAAATGAATTTTTAAAAATAGTAGATTGATGGAGAATGTGGGGATGAAAAATAAGGAAAAGTTTTTGGTTTCCGTGTAACATTATTTTAATGAAGAATGTGTTGTTAAAACAAAGAGAGAAAAATGAATTTTGATAAAAATGAGAATCAAATGGAGCCTAAATGTATCGACGTGTTATGTTTCTCTTGTTCACCTCGAACAATTGCAATGGACGAAGTAGAGTCGAGTGAACTACACAACTGTTGATCTGTATTTTACCTTAGCACTTAAATCTGGAAACCGTTTACGTTGTCACCACATAAACTACAGCAAGTCCAGTACAGGCGGCTGCTCAGGCAGAGATTTCCCCTGACTAGGCCGTGATGCTGAGGTGCTCCCAAGTTGTCCTTGAATTCCCCTTCCCCGTCCTCTCCCTCTACCAACAGCAGTTGTTGGAGGTGGAGCGAGTCTTAGTGCAGCTTGCTCACTCTTGTTAGAAGCAAAGATTGAGCCAAGATCCGCTGCTTTCTGGGCGGACAAACCAAGAGTTGAAGCACCATGATTTTGGTTCAGATACCCGAAAGAACTCTGCACACTGAGTCCACTGATAGTGGATGAGGTACTACTACCATGAATCTGTCTCATTGGCTCAACAGAATTTTGAGTGCCAAATGCCCACGAACTCAAACTATCAGTCGAGGTTGCATTATTGCTTGAAGAATATTTGTTGGCAAATGGTGCTGCCATTCCATTGATTGAAGATCCAGAAAGGGTTGTCGTGCCAGGTCGAGGTGGCCAGTTGGCAAAAGGATCTATATCATCAAAACCTGCATCTGAATAACCTTTATTTTCATTGAGCTTCCCAGGGTCGCCTAATTGAGTCGTAATGCCTGATGAACATCGATGTGGCCACTCAATATCAACTGCAGGACATGAAGATGGCAGTTGTTGAGAAGCTGAAGTCAATGTCAAAGACGACTGAGAATATCCAGATGTTTGAGCTTGCTGGCTTGGAACGACTGGTTGAGCATTTGAAATTGTAGAGGAAGACAAGGGAGCGGTTGAAGCTCCCCTGGAAGGTATCCAATCTTCATCCCATGATGGGCTGTGTTTCGTACTAGATGAGGTAGCAAGTGGTTTATTAACTAGTCCAGGAAGAGGCCCATCCCCTGTAGGTGGTGGTGTCTCTGAAATTCCAGAGTCCGTCAAAGTTACTCCTCGCTTTTCTTCTATCTTTCTGCAAAGGACACAAAAACATAACTCAGCACAGCATAAATGCACATACACATTGAGCCTCTTACATTACAAGTCAATCACCAATAATATATGGAATTAGGATCCAAATCTATGTAGAGAAGGAAAGATAGCTTTTAATGTTACCTCAGCACATCCTTGACAAAAAACATGTACTTAGCGAACTGCTGAACATTTAATTGCTGAGTAATTAGCAGTGGTATCAGTATTGGAAGAACATGCTCTGCTACAAATTCAGTTCCAAACTGCAGAGAGAGGGTTAAAACAAAAAATAGGTGGGTGAGAATATTAAAATAAATGTTCATACATTCAACGAAGTTGCCTTAAAACGTTTTATACCTGCTTCAAAATTGAGGTTGCTACTCCAAGGGTACACATTAGAGTTGGAGCAGAATGATCAACAGCAGTACATCGTTGGATCGTTTGCAAGATATCTGAAACACCGTGCTTATCCAGCATGTGAACCATATCACCTAGACATAATAGAGCATTCACTCTCACCTGACAACAGAAGCAAACCTTGACTTCTAGAGTTTAGACTAACCGATTCACTCCAAGGAGTGCCCACTTCAACGAAAAGGAAATAAATAAAAAGTAAAAATGGTAGAAGTTGATTGACTTAATATGGCTGCTTCGCATAAAAATGAACATAACTTTAGTACTAATAACATGTAACTTCCTAAAGTTACTCTTGCCTATTTCAAGAAACTGTAGCATGGGGGTGGGCAGTCAAAATAAAGATATATGAAGCACGGACAACATACCGCAGCAACAGTTGTTTTAAGCGCCAGGCCATGAACACGGGGCAAAATTGCTTGTTTCACTAACTGCAGGAAAGGTTAACACAGAAAAAGGTGAGATTTTATAATATACCAAAAATAATAAACAGCACACTAGACCAATATTATTAAGACCAAAAATGAATCTGTACGTGACGATTGCTGATGGGAAAATTCAACAGAAAAAACTTAGCTGAAAACTTAAGAGGGACAGCAACCCGTGGAACAATGCAATCGTATACTTGCAGTTAAATACATAAATGATTTGGCATGTATTGTTATAATGATATAATATCATATGTGTCATTTTGTGAAAGCCTTATGCCTCGTAAGTTTATTGTTAGTTAACAATTTTAAAAAATTGAGTTTTGCAACGTACTCAAAAATTGAAGAATGAACCTAATAGTCAACTAGAGGTAAAGAACATAATATGATCTGTCTCACCAGTCCACATATTTAAGAACCACCAATAAGAAGCAACTCGAGTCACCTGAACATCAAGTTTCTTTGCAAGCGAAAGAGTCTTTCTAAGAACTTCCTCTTGCAAGCGTGCATCAGTTTCATCATAAGCTCGAGCGAGCATGGGCAGGACATGGGAAACCAGGTGCTCCTGACTAGCCTGCCGCAAGAGAAAAACAAATGAAGCTAGAAATACAAGTCACAAGGATAAAACATTAACAATAAAATAAATCTAGTTGAAAGGATACCCATCAAGTTAAAATATAAGTAACGCATGGAAGTTATTACACCACCTTTGCTTTATACTCCAGAGTTTTAGGCTTCTAAAGGACAAAAATGTAGAAAAGTGATGATGTTAAGATAGACGTGTGGTCATAGTGGAATCGAAAAACCATGAAAAACAGATATACACTAATAACGGAGATTGGAGGTAGAACTAGTTGACGATAAATTATGCAAAGGACTGTCTAAGTGGTTAGGGTCATGTCCCATTTAGACTCGAATAAATTCTCATTCACATGAGCGATGAAATCTCATCATAAAAAGTAAAAGAAAAGAGAGAAGTAAACAAAAATTAGCTCCTGTTTGGCACCCTTTAAAATTTTAAATTATTTGCTATAATATCGTTCTCCACCACACATTTAAATAATAAAATATTCTACACACAAACCAATAAAGTTTCTTTAATTTTTAACCACACATTTTCCCAAAAAATAATATTCCATAATACATTTTACCAAAATTTCTCTTTATAATGGGGTAAAAAATCAATATTAGAACGTTCCAACTGGCTGAGAAAATTAAAATATTTATTTCAGTAAATGTATTTCTCAAATAGGAAAAATCAAGTGTATAACAGTTATAACACACATCAATGGCAAGCTAACACAGTAACTTTAGTTACCTTGTTGATAATAAGCTCAGCATGCTTCACAAGTAGCAGTAATGTCTCACCAGCGGCCTTGTCCAGGACTGGAACAAGAGATGGTAAGGTTGATACCTCAAAATCGTTTTTATCCTGTAATTATTTTACAGAAATACCACCACAACCTCCTTAATATATTAGTGTTGTAAAAGTCGAGAGAGATGGCTACTGATTAAACTAGCACAGTGATGCGGCTGCATCATTATCTTATTCATCATATAATACTGTCAAATGGTATTTTATGGATGTACATTACCTTCCCCTGACCACACTTCCATAAGCATAAGAAATTATGCACCGGGCAATACAACCAGGAACAATGAAATTAAAGAAAAGGCTTGGAGAAATATTATAACCTTCAACTTCAAACATACGTACTAGAAAGCAATAGTACAGAAATATATATGAAATCAAAAAACGAATATAAGCTCATTGAAAATAATATACACATAGGTCTTATAAGCAATTTGTCTCAATAAATGCAACATTTCAAATGCAAAGATTAGAAATTAACTTGTTCACTAAAAATATATTGAAGAGATTACTTTCCCACAGAAGGGTTTTACTCACTAAAAACATGTTGAAAATTTACCATGTTTCACAGCGTAAGAAATAATATTTGCAAGTGATTCAGGTGTATGACCAGAAAACTCTTCTCTACCTTTAAAGTTACATCACAAAAGCAGTAACTTTGACATTTTTGCATTTTCTAAACTAATGGTCAAATGTATTAGGAATTACAAACTTAGCCCCAGTATCTCCAACAAACTCTGAACATTTTAACAATTATGTCTACATATAGAAGTTCTTGGTATCAGCTATCAGGTCATGCATTACACAAGAAATGCACGTGCGCAGACACAAAAATAGTTAGATCAACTCCAAGTTTCCAAAAGTGGGTAAACTGTAATTTTAATTGACGACGTGTAATTTCTTAACATACCAAAGGAACTTTTACAGTTCAAAGATAACTAATCAAATTACCTGAGACTCTGCTATGGTCAGAACCATAGGTAGAATCACTGGCTGCATTACCAAATTTCGAAGCTCTGCACACAGAGGGGGAAGAACCTGCATTAGTCAGCAAATCGGAGTTCAATTTGCCAAACCTTCATAAGAGGCCAAGGACTAGACTTATTATCACACGTCAAAAATACAGCGATTGCATCATCAAAGCCATCAAAACCAGAAATTAGGGAAATGGATGAACATATAATCTCGAGACATCATTCTTCCGAGGGGTGTTGGGAGATGGGCTCAAGAGCATTAGAGTTAGGATATGGAAGACAATTACATTGAATAATTGTATTAAATCCCTAACTTGATTCCATATCTAGGTTGTTCAAAATGTAAAGGAAGTAAACGAAAATAGTCATATCAGAGAATATAAGTTTCAATAACTGTACTCACTTATCATCTTACTGCTACTATTCTAGATTCCAAATAAACAAGATGACAATTAGTTCTAGACACTATACTTATGAAGATGATCAGCAATACCGTAAAGCAGGATCATATAAATAGGATGCAACATCTCGAACCTTATACCGCAATACACGGGAGTCAAAATCCTTCCGCATGTCTGATAATGCTTTTAGAAACTCTGATTTCTGCATGTTATCTCTTTCCTGCAGGCAAAAAAGGTCATCTCACATTCCATTATCACCAAAATTGCATCATGTAACATACGCCTCGCAGCTGGGCCATCCTGGACTTAATTGGTGAAAAGTATGAAATGAATTGATTTAAAAAAAAAAAAAAGAAAGTCATAACAAAAAGAAATGGTAATGGAAGATTTGTCCTAGATGTGCAAATCAAAATCAGGTGGAACTTTAATGCGAAAAATGATTGCATACAAGCATGTGATCCAGGAAGCGGAGAGCACGCAACCTAGTATCCTCCTGAAAAAAAGGTGAGCCTGCAAATATGAACACATTTTCAGTGAAAAACATATTTGTAGTAGATGTATTTGTCAGTGTGACGACTTAGAAAACTTTTAGCATAAGAAAACTTTTAGCACTAAAGCCAATAGATAAGACTAGACAAATTAAAGCCATAGATAGCTTAAATACTATTGTTCAATGCGTCATTCTTTCCATTCAGATCCTAAAGAGCAACTGGGCATGCACAAAAAAAGCCCGGCTTTAGCTGAACATTTGCTGACTTCATCTGTAAAGATCCTTAAATATTTTAACTGTGAGGTGCCAAGACCTTAACAAAGAATGCAAAACAGATTTTCTTCATCATTACCTCACTTTTTCTTATATCTATGCTTATTATTGTTGTTTTTTGCTGCAAGTGTGGTATGAAGCAGTCAGATGAATTGCTCTTTATCAAGCATTTTTGTTCTTAAAAGAAACAAGCATTGCATTAGAATCCACGCATGCATCCTGATGTAGACTATCATCCATCGATTGCTGCACTAAAAATTTTGCAACACACTACTTATCTTGTCATAGGATCATATAGAGTTGCACCTTGCAAAGCAACAGACCATATGAGAACCCCCTCCCCCAACGAAAAATTAAAGGATGAAAAAGGAACAGGAAGGAAAAATAAAAAATAAAAAATTAATGTGCATTAACTTGTTCTACAAGCCTTTCTCCTAATATATCAGTACATCCTACATACAAGGTTATAATATTCAGAAGATGCACAGCCGTACCCGTAAAATCCATGGCTGATGGCCTGAGAGCCTCATTTGCAGAAAGCATTCTCTGTAACTCGGGCAACAGCTCCCTTGGAATGGAAGAAAAAGCCTCACTGGATAAGTAAGTCAAACTATTCATGTACTGCAGGAAAGTTGCACAAGAAACACTACTATTAAAACAGCAGACGAACTTATAGGTAACAAATTTAGAAAGGACGCGGGACAACGCTAATTGCATCTATTTTAGGAAAACTACATCAAAGAAAACTTCAAATCAGAGGGACAACTTCAGTAAATCCAGATTGCAACCAATGCCACAGAATTTCAGCATAGTTGAACAACAACTTACACAAGGCATTATTTGAAAGATCTGAAACGAAATTAGATATCATGAAATTTAGAATGTATGTATGAGATAGTGAATATATCTAGAAATCAACAACATAACTCAGAAATTCCATGAAATCATAATCCATAAATTAATTAGAATGCAAAAACCAAATCTTCATACTTTTGAATCTAGATCTGTTTAGATGTTTCATTGGGTTTACAGATCTCAAATAGTATTCAAATCCCTAGTATTCAAATCCCAAATTACACTGAAAGGGATTTGAATACATGTCAAAATCCAACCATTATGCAATCTTTTACAGATCCTAATGGAACCAATTTTCATGATTTTCAGCAATCTTTGACATGATTTTGATGTAATCTTCAGTGGACTCGTTGAACCATTATCCAAAATTCTCATCTTCTTGGGATATGACAGTTAATTTTAGTCGATATACTTAGACATGAGAGAAATGCATGAGAAAGTAGATCAATAGTGTTTCAACATAATCTTTGCCAAAAGCCAAAATGCTCTGGCCAATTACATTTATACAGACACTTAGATGCACATATCAAACACTGATCACTTCTCATACGCCACCAGATATCGACATTTTTATCCAAGCTGGTGTTTGGAGTAGCTTGAGACAAAGTTATACCCAGATTAGTATAATCTGGAGTAATCTTGCAATATAGGAAAATTTCTATAGTTTGTTCCTGCCATAAAGACAGGTTTAGGGCGGATTAACTGATCGCATGCATATAAAATGGAGAAGCAGCCCCAAGCAGCGAAAAATTGAAAGCAAAATAAGTATGTTTAATATCACAGATGGAAGACTAAAATTAATTTGCACATTACTAATTAAATTGTTAAAATAGGCAAATGGGGGGTTGAGTTACTTTAGTCATAAGTAAATAAGTAAGTCTTAGAGTAAGTAATTAATCTGTAGGTCAAAATTGAAATAAGTTACCCACACATATAAGTACCTAATAAGCAAAGAAGTTATAACAAATAGCTTTCTTCATTAACCAAAGATAAAAATAAGTTATTTATTATGACAATAGTAAGAGCTACTCATGAAAATTAACTTTTACTTACAGAGTAAATAAGTATCAAGAAAAATCGGCCTAAGGCAAGGCCTCGGCAAACCGGTTGATCAGGCACTGGTTTTTCAGGTTTAGCAGGTTAATTTTTTATTTAAGAAAATGGAACTTCTTAGGCCCAATAACTAATGTCAAAAGAAGTTAAAGACCCAGAAAGTTATTATTTTCCTACCATTTATTGCTCTCTGTTATGGCTAATTTCTTAACCTTTTCCCTTTTATGTTTTTCAATGTGGAAATATTGTTACAAACAGAACACCCTACTTCAAGCATTTTAACACCTGTTGGGAATACTTTAAGAAATAAAGTGCAATTTTTTATTTGAAAAATTGAATAAGAAAATTTGAACCTCAAAATAAATTATTTCTTGAATTTGATTCTTCTTTTCATTTTACTTCCATTTTTTCTTTTTAATTTTGAGTTTCATTTTTTTAACTAAAAATTACTTTCAAGAAATGAGTGATGAGTAAGTAGGTAATACTTGTGGTTCATACGGAATGTGTGATTAAAATTACCGTTTGAATTTGAAAGTGACTTTTTAAGTTTTCAGTAAAAAATATAAAAATAAAACCTGAACAAAGTATAAAATACTATATAATGAAACTTGAGCTCTATCTATGTTTTATTTCTATTGAGATTTGAAGCAGACATAATGAAAATTAAATGTAGCCAAGTTTAGAAGTCTTTTATCTACATATATTAATAAGTTTTTAAAAATTAACTTATTTTCTCAAAATCTTGCTGTATATTTATTTATTTATTATAACCAGTTCGAGTTTTGAGCCTTAACCCTTTCTCTTTTCCGGGTCAATGCCCAGGTGGGTTTTCAAAACATTGAGTATAACACTTCCATTGATTATATCCAAAACATTTTACTTGTTTCAGTGATCAAAAGAACTCAGAAATCCCAAACAGGCTGCACACTTTCCTAGTTTCCACCAAACTGTATGCCAGACAAAATTAGCAAGTAACAATTATTTCTTATTGTCAAGATGAACCAAGTTATTTTAATAATACTTGTAAAATATCTAAAGAAAAGAAGAGAATACCATCTTCACATTATTGTGGCAATCAAACAAAGGCTTATGCGCAATCAAGTGGTAGGTCAGACATCCAAAACTGAAAATATCAGAGGAGCACCCAACTGATGATGTTTTACTTCGAACCAGTTCAGGGGCAGTGTAGTTTAATGATGGCTGAAGAGGCAGAACAGAATCTTCGACATCGTACTCCTACAAAATTCAAATCGGATTAGAATATCAGCTCATATATCATTCATCTTTCACATTGAAACCTATAAATTTGTTTTTTTAATAAATCAAATCAACCCAAACTTTGAATAATTAAAGAGTTTGAAAGCTCATAGTTTTACATAATTAAAAGAGGTTGAAAGCAGAAATAATTTCTGTATTTTTGTTTGTACTGTAGCTAAGCAACAGCCCTCAATTTATAATACAACTAAGAAAAGGGAAAAAGGAAGGGTATTTCCTAAATTAAGAGAGAAGAAAGTCAACCCAAATTAACATCACAATTACAGAGTGACTAAGGCGATATCTAAATATGGTAACTACAATTATATTGTACAATCTTCCATATTTCTAATACTTCCCCACAAGTTAGATGGTAATTGTTGATCATTTTCAATTTGCAAATGAAACCATCCAAACTTTGTCGAGTTAATCCTTTGGTGAATTTATCTATGCTTTGTTATTTAGTGTGGATATAGGTCATGCAAATAACTCTATCTTCAACCTTTTCTTTGATGAAGTGTTTGTCCACTTCTACTTGTTTCGTTCAATTGTGTTGAACCAAATTAAAATAAATGTTGATGGTTGCCTTGTTATCACAATAGAGTTTGATCGGAAGTTCTACTATGACTTGTAGTTCTTCCAAGAGTTTCTTTAATCGTAGTCCTTTAAATATATTCCTTGCGTAACTCTTTTGAACTCAGTTTCAACACTACTTCTTGCATATATTTTGTTTTTTACTCCTCCAATTTGCATTTGTTTAACCTACCCAATTTGCATATGTGAATACTTCTACTTTCTTGCTTTCATTCTTCTTGAAGAATAGTCCTTTTTCAAACGAGCCTTTGAGATATCTAAGAAATCTGTATAGTGATTCTCTATGGATCTCTTTTGGACAATGCATATGTTTGCTTACCACACTTACTGCAAAGTTAATGGCAGGTCTAGTATGAGATAGGTAGATCAATTTTATGACAAGCCGTTGATACCCGTCCTTCTCAACTCGATTTCCAATGCTTCCTGTTTTCCTTCCTACATCAATAGGTGTGCCGCTTGATTTACATCCAAGCATGCATGTTTCGGTTAGGAGTTTATGAATTTTTATTTATTTATTTTTTTTTTGTGAAACACTGATACCTTCTTTAGATCGTGCTACTTCCATTTCTAAGATATATCACATTTGTCTCAGGGCCTTTCACTTCGAATTTAGTTGCTAGACTTCTCTTAAGTATTTCCATCTCCCATTTATTATCCCTAGTTAGGAATATAACATTGACATATACAATTAAAATAGTTTTGTCCCATTTTCTGATTGTTGAAAAAAAAAATGGTGAGTTCTGATTGTCCCTACTTGTAACCTTAGTCTTTCAACACTTTAGCAAATCTGTCAACCATGCTCTAGGTGACTGTTTTAAATCATACAAAGATTTATTGAGTTTACAAACCCAATTTTTCTCATTCCATTTATCAAAACCTAGTGATAAGGTTATGAAAACTCCTTCCAATTCTACATTAAGGAACACATTTTTAATGTCGAGTTGTTGAAGATGTTAGTCTAAATTAGCTACTAAAGATAATAAAACCACTCGGATTGTATTCAACTTTGCACTGGTGCAAACGTCACAATTTAGTCAATGCCATAAGTTTGTGTATCCTTTTTGCAATAAAACGAGCTTCATATCATTTTATTATTCTATCAGCTTTATACTTCACATTAAAGATACATTTGCAACTTACAGATGTCTTTCATCTCGATAAATCCACCTCCCTAAGTTTCATTTTTCTAATGTCCACATTTCCTCCATCACTACTTCTCTCCATTTGGATATTTTCAAGGCTTCCTGAATACTCCTTAAAATATTTATACTATTAAGATTAGATTTAAAAGTACGAAACCCTGTAAATAGACCATTATAATATATGAGTTTTGAAATAGGATGGAATAGGGTGGAAAGCACATGATTGAGTTTGTTTCCTAAGTGAGATAGGCAGATTGCTTGTAATATCCCAATTTTTTTTTATTACTAGTCATTAGATTAAAAATTAGGACTTAAGTGCTCTATTATTAAAGTTTAATGACCTTATTAATTACTAGCCAATAGTTTGAAGGCCTAAGTGAAGAGTTCATTTGGAAGTTAAATGAAATTATATATAAAATATATGTAAATATATCAATTAGCCATGATTAAAGATTATTTATTTGACCACATGATTATTCACCACATTTTAAGCAAAGTAATTGCTTCGACCACATAAACTAAGGTAATTGATTTAACCACATGCATTATCTACACCAAGATTCAAGCCAAGTCAATTGATTTGATCACATGATTAAAGGAATTGATTTAACAACTTTCAAGACAATGCACCAATTATACTTTAACCATGCCTAACATCCAGCCATTTTCTTACAATTTTCTATACATAGTCCAAGAACTTGCACTATAAATAAGCATTAAACTCAACATTGGACGATCTCTCACCAATTATTTACATTATTCCTCTCTATCTCTATCACTTTGTCTCAACACTTTTACTTTCTCGTCTTTTTCCTATTAAATATAGTCATATACTTACACAATCACACAACCCGACACGCGGCTCAAGGATCTTCCTCCAACAATCACTTCTTCTATCATTTTTGAATTGTCAAGTGAAAGGTAAGTGTAGTAGTACGAATTGTTCTTTCATTATTTAAATTACGGAAATTCATGTTATGAGTATGATGATTCGGAAATCCAAGTTATGATTATGATAAGGGTCCTATATATGTAAGTTCAAAGAACCGGAATTTAGTAGCGCTTTGCATGGGAATTATAGCCACGAAGTTCGGATTTTAATTTCCATGTCTCCATATGTATGTTATGATTTTCTATAATTAAATATGAGGTGCAAATTCGTTATTACTCATTTCCTAAGATTTATATCTCACATGTATATGTTAAAAATTTTTATAAGTAACTAAAAAGGGCGGGTTCGAGGCGAACGGAGGTGGATTGTACTTGCATGGATAAAAATCAAGAATGATGTTTAAGTTAAAGATTTTAATGATGTTTATAGGTAACTAAAAAGGGCGGGTTCAAAAAATATTATGTTTTTCATTGTTTATAAAAGTATTATCTGGCGGTACATGTATTTCTATGTGTATTATAACTAAGCAACAGCCTTCAATTTATAATACAATGGGAAAGGGAAAAGAAAAAGGGAACGGAATATTTTAAATTAGGAGAGGAGGAAATCAACCTAAATTAACAGTCTAATTACAGTATGACTAGCTAAGGCAATATCTAAATATGGTAACTACAATTATATTGTACGATCTTCCAGATTTCTAGCGGTCATATTTAAGCACCCAAGGAAAATATTGCAAACAATGTGGTGAAATACTGTGCATTATGTAAATATTGATCAACTGCTTTCTAATCTAAGAAGAAGCTCCAAGGAAAGGAATAAAAAGAAATAAAATGACACATTTTAGTTCATCGATAATGTCAACATTTCCGTTCAGGAATACTTCCAAATACTAAACCATATTGATAAATATAGTATAAAAAGAAGATTCAAATTAACGACACAGAGATTATAATCAGCAATGTATCCAAAAATCAAGGTGGGGGGAGATTCTGATAGAAATAATATGTTTTCAAGGACAAAACGTTCATTACTCACAGCAAAATGAAAAGACTGCACATTTGCAGAATAATTTGATGACTGATCAATTGATATCGCAAAACCAAAGCCACCAAGCTTCCAGGCTCCATTTGATGTAATCAGGACTGCCTGCAACAGAACAATGGCCAATATTTTTAACATATGATATCCATATCCTACGAGAGGAAAATAAAACCAAAGCCCAGGTGGTAAAACAGTCTAAGGAAATGAAATATTCTAATTCTATTAGTATCCTTCAGTATTGAGCAACCGCAAAGGCTTCTGTTTACTATAGGCACACTAATTGTAAAATAAAGAGCACCTGGCATTGAACTGGCATTAGAATAATACAAATATCTAGATCTGCATGCATACAAATATTAGACGTGGACAAGGTTCCCAAGAAACAATTCTAATTTCTATGTACATGTGACGAAAAGATTCCAAAGAAACATTTCTAAATTATATCCAATTGTTGAAACATAGATATTCACTTTCAACAATTCACAGCAGAGCAACAATATTATAACCAATTTGTCACTGCCAACAAAATCCAAATTCATTTCTGGAAGGTTTTATATGAGATGCTCAAGTTCCAAAAGTTTTGCATAATACAAATCATTAGATAAAAACTAGTAACAATAAACTAACTCTTATTAACAATAAATTTTGGTATGGCTACATTAATCCTTTATGGCCGCTCCATTAAATCCATCACTACAGCAATTGGAGGATCCAAAAAAGTTAGATGGTTAGTAACCTCGTCAAGCCATCGGCTTTAAGAATAAAGAATTAGCTAGACACAGAGCTTTAAATCTAATGAATGAGAACCAGAAGAAACGATAGACTTCTTTAGGCCCGAACACAAGAAAAATGTAGAACGGTATTAAACAATTCGAATACAGCTGACAACTGAGACGAAAGTAGGGTGAGATGATTGAGCTACTGTAACAAGTAACAACCATACCCTTAAGTTTTCTTACCTCTAAATCTTACCAATGTTAAATAGTTAAATCCATATAGCCACTTTCAACATATCCACACTATCATTAGTTCATTACTCTTTTTTCTTCACAAGATCATGCCACTAGTCTATTAAACATTATGAGAAAAAGGAAAATATTTCCTTTGGACACAAACACACAAAATAACAAAGAAAGGGAAACAACGACAGTATTAAAGGTTCATATGAAACTGCATACAAACAAAAATAAAGAAAGAATAATTGGTAACCTCAGGTGATAAAGCCCGGTGGATGAGACAAGCATTGTTATGAAGGAAACCCAAGGTTTCTGCAATCTGGAGAAGTCCATGCTTCACCTCCAGCAGTCCCATTTCCTGCACAAATTGAGGTCGGAATGAAAGTGCATTCCTCAAACATGGTTTCTAAGAGAGAGTTGCATAAGAATTTGTTGTTTGCCAACTCCTCAAACTATGTTCAACTTGTGGCACATCAAACACCAAAGGAGAAGAAGGGGATTCTATCTCCAAAACAACCAAGCACTCTAAAGGTGTAGAAACAGTCGAAAGATGTTTTAAGGTCACTGAATTAAATTTGATATAGTACATTGTTTAAATTTATACCGAGAGTTGATGGCATATATTTATAACAATGATTGGCCAGTGCTAATTGGATAGACTTAGACGCAAGGCTCAGATAAAGGACAAGGACAAGGCACAACATGGAGATGCCTCACATTAATTGGCAAAATGTAGGATATAACATCCTAGCAAATATTGAATAACGAAAATGATGTAGAATCAATATACTGATCAAGAAATAACCACAGTTAGAAGGATAGGAAGAAATAGGCAACAAGAAAGGGCGGGGAGGAACGGAGAGAATGGAGGAAGAAAACCGGAGGAGAAGAGAACAAGAGGGGAAGGCGGGAGAAAGCAATGCTAATTTTCATTCAATTCATCATCTTCATCAACTGAGTTTTGCCAGATTAATTACAAACCTTTAAATAGAAGAAAACAACCCTAAAGCATAAGGGCTTGGGCCAAACCCATATACAAGCCCAATAAAATATAAAACCTAAATAAATAGACATGAAACATAAATAACTGGCCCAAACAGACGGCCTAACAAAGGATGTCCGCATCAACTCTCCTGGGAGAAAACTCGACCCTGTCGAATGGTTAAATCACAAAATATTGCTGTCAAATGATATCCTATTCATGATTTTCACGTTGGAACGATCACGGTGGCAAAATGCTACTAAACCGTCTAAGGGAATGTCAATCAAAATATCGGACCCAAAATAGTAGAGTAGAGCCCAAATTGAAAATCAAATTACCACACAATTCCAAGCCCATAATATTAACTGAAGCACAGCCCAATCTAAAAGTCAAGTGCTGAATTTTCTCTCTAGCCCAATCTGCGTGATGGTAAATTGGGGATTGAGTGGAGGTGAGGTGTCGATGGCTGAGGTGATTATGGACAGCGTCGCTGTAACTATGAATGGCGGTAGGTAGCGGCTGTAGTGACTATAGGCTTCGACGTTGTGAAGGTGATTGGTGGTTGGTGTGGCTGTGGTGGTGGTTACAATTGGAGGCGACGGTTGCGAGTTAGATGTTTCAGGGCGTTGCGAGTTGCTCGAAATTGGAGGAGACGATGGAACTTGAGGTCGTAGGGTGGGTGTTTTTTGGATTTGGAACAGAGTGTGGTGCGATTTGTTAGCTAGATTGAGCAATGGCGGTGGCGTTTGATGTAGAACGGGTTGATGAAGGCGACAAATTGAGCCGAGTAATGGGCTAGATTGAGTTTGTGAACACTACTGGTGGGCGTGACTGGCGGCGATTGGTGTTTGCGCACTCATACTTGCGATTTTTTTTTTTTTTTTGATGAAAAGGAAAGTTACCGATTATTGTGAAGTTTCCGTCAGTTGCTATCTTGGAGTTTGAGACATCCTGGTTAATGGAAGTTATGTGGCTTGGGTTGATTGCCGTAATTTCAGGGTAGTGGGATTACGTGGGATGCCAGTAAGTAGAGGTTGTCGATGGTGCCGGAACCAGGCAGAAGAGATTGCGATTTTCTAGTGGGAATGTTGTTGTAATTTGGGCCGAGTAATGGGCTAGATTGAGTGGATTAAGTGATGATTAGCTGGGGCAATGGGCTTGGTGATTTTGGGGATTAAGTTGGGTTGTAGGTATGATAAATAACATGGGCTCAGTAATTGGGTTTGTGTTTGGTTATTGGGATGTGAGGAAGTTGGTTAGAGGAATGGCTGTGTTGTTGGTTTTGGGTATATGGATTGTACATTTATAATTGGAGAGTGGGCTAAAGGTTCATGGGTTTTAACTGCAGGAATGATTGCATGATAATGGGCATTCGCAGTTGTACAAGGCGGTTGGGTGGTGTTACAGTAGTAGTAATGGATTTTGGGACTATTTTCAGATTATGGTGGCAGCGGTTAACCATACGCAACAGAAGTTTTTTTGATGAAGGGAGATAGTGTTCTGAGAAAGTGAGCCAACCCGTAAAATTGTGAGATGGTATAGATTAAGCAGGTGATTGGCTTGAAACTAAAATCTTTGGCTGAAAAAGAAAAACCCAGATCCCCTTTTCAACATTGTCTTCAGATTAAGAATTTCCAGAAAGTGTATGGTCTCCATGATGGTCTAGAACTCAAAATTAAGTAGCAATCTGATGAAGGGAAACCAGGTTTGGCTCTGATACCAAGTTCATGTAGAATCAATATACTGATCAAGAAATAACCACGGTTAGAAGGACACGAAGAAATAGGTAGCAAGAAGGGGGGAGAAACGGAGAGAATGGAGGGAGAAGACCGGAGGAGAAGAGAACAAGAGGGGAAAGCGGGAGAAAGCAATGCTAATTTTCATTCAATTCATCATCTTCATCAACTGAGTTTTTCCAGATTAATTACAAACCTTTAAATAGATGTTTTAAGGTCACTGAATTAAATTTGATATAGTACATTGTTTAAATTTATACCGAGAGTTGATGGCATATATTTATAACAATGATTGGCCAGTGCTAATTGGATAGACTTAGACGCAAGGCTCAGATAAAGGACAAGGACAAGGCACAACATGGAGATGCCTCACATTAATTGGCAAAATGTAGGATATAACATCCTAGCAAATATTGAATAACGAAAATGATGTAGAATCAATATACTGATCAAGAAATAACCACAGTTAGAAGGATAGGAAGAAATAGGCAACAAGAAAGGGCGGGGAGGAACGGAGAGAATGGAGGAAGAAAACCGGAGGAGAAGAGAACAAGAGGGGAAGGCGGGAGAAAGCAATGCTAATTTTCATTCAATTCATCATCTTCATCAACTGAGTTTTGCCAGATTAATTACAAACCTTTAAATAGAAGAAAACAACCCTAAAGCATAAGGGCTTGGGCCAAACCCATATACAAGCCCAATAAAATATAAAACCTAAATAAATAGACATGAAACATAAATAACTGGCCCAAACAGACGGCCTAACAAAGGATGTCCGCATCAACTCTCCTGGGAGAAAACTCGACCCTGTCGAATGGTTAAATCACAAAATATTGCTGTCAAATGATATCCTATTCATGATTTTCACGTTGGAACGATCACGGTGGCAAAATGCTACTAAACCGTCTAAGGGAATGTCAATCAAAATATCGGACCCAAAATAGTAGAGTAGAGCCCAAATTGAAAATCAAATTACCACACAATTCCAAGCCCATAATATTAACTGAAGCACAGCCCAATCTAAAAGTCAAGTGCTGAATTTTCTCTCTAGCCCAATCTGCGTGATGGTAAATTGGGGATTGAGTGGAGGTGAGGTGTCGATGGCTGAGGTGATTATGGACAGCGTCGCTGTAACTATGAATGGCGGTAGGTAGCGGCTGTAGTGACTATAGGCTTCGACGTTGTGAAGGTGATTGGTGGTTGGTGTGGCTGCGGTGGTGGTTACAATTGGAGGCGACGGTTGCGAGTTAGATGTTTCAGGGCGTTGCGAGTTGCTCGAAATTGGAGGAGACGATGGAACTTGAGGTCGTAGGGTGGGTGTTTTTTGGATTTGGAACAGAGTGTGGTGCGATTTGTTAGCTCGATTGAGCAATGGCGGTGGCGTTTGATGTATAATGGGTTGATGAAGGCAACAAATTGGATTTTGATTGTGAACGCTACTGGTGGGCGTGACTGGCGGCGAATGGTGTTTGCGCACTCATACTTGCGGTTTTTTTTTTTTTTGGATGAAAAGGAAAGTTACCGATTATTGTGAAGTTTCCGTCAGTTGCTATCTTGGAGTTTGAGACATCCTGGTTAATGGAAGTTATGTGGCTTGGGTTGATTGCCGTAATTTCAGGGTAGTGGGATCACGTGGGATGCCAGTAAGTAGAGGTTGTCGATGGTGCCGAAACCAGGCAGAAGAGATTGCGATTTTCTAGTGGGAATGTTGTTGTAACTTGGGCCGAGTAATGGGCTAGATTGAGTGGATTAAGTGATGATTAGCTGGGGCAATGGGCTTGGTGATTTTGGGGATTAAGTTGGGTTGTAGGTATGATAAATAACATGGGCTCAGTAATTGGGTTTGTGTTTGGTTATTGGGATGTGAGGAAGTTGGTTAGAGGAATGGCTGTGTTGTTGGTTTTGGGTATATGGATTGTACATTTATAATTGGAGAGTGGGCTAAAGGTTCATGGGTTTTAACTGCAGGAATGATTGCATGATAATGGGCATTCGCAGTTGTACAAGGCGGTTGGGTGGTGTTACAGTAGTAGTAATGGATTTTGGGACTATTTTCAGATTATGGTGGCAGCGGTTAACCATACGCAACAAAAGTTTTTTTGATGAAGGGAGATAGTGTTTTGAGAAAGTGAGCCAACCCGTAAAATTGTGAGATGGTATAGATTAAGCAGGTGATTGGCTTGAAACTAAAATCTTTGGCTGAAAAAGAAAAACCCAGATCCCCTTTTCAACATTGTCTTCAGATTAAGAATTTCCAGAAAGTGTATGGTCTCCATGATGGTCTAGAACTCAAAATTAAGTAGCAATCTGATGAAGGGAAACCAGGTTTGGCTCTGATACCAAGTTCATGTAGAATCAATATACTGATCAAGAAATAACCACGGTTAGAAGGACACGAAGAAATAGGTAGCAAGAAGGGGGGAGAAACGGAGAGAATGGAGGGAGAAGACCGGAGGAGAAGAGAACAAGAGGGGAAAGCGGGAGAAAGCAATGCTAATTTTCATTCAATTCATCATCTTCATCAACTGAGTTTTTCCAGATTAATTACAAACCTTTAAATAAAAGAAAACAACCCTAAAGCATAATAACTTGGGCCAAACCCATATACAAGTCCAATAAAATATAAAACCTAAATAAATAGACATAAAACATAAATAACTGGCCCAAACAGACGGCCTAACAAAGGATGATCATTAAGTGTTAAGTTTGATGCACGAGTAATAAAGATTATTATTTCTTTGATGATTATTAGGATGTCCGCATCACTAATGTCCCATCTTTGGATTGCCAAATTCAAAGTTTAATATAATTCATCTCAAAGAAATGATTGATCTACAAATAGCTAAATCTACAAATAAAATGGGATGGGCTCAGTTCCAAGTGTGTCAAAATCCTACATATAGAATTCAAATTGGCCTGACTTCAGTTACTATACATATTACAAATTTCTAAATGCCATTCTACTTCAAAAACCAAATAAGGGTAAAAAACACCGCATTGTCAACTTGAGGGAGGAAAGAAAAGAAAAACACTCAAATTCAAGCTCGAAATTAGAAGGGCACTTCTCGAAGTACTAAATCCATCCAAAAATGATCCATCAATTCTAAATTATCAAATTTCTAAAGTATCCACAAAACCAAAACCAAAACCAAAACCTGAAACTCTGAATTGAAGACCATACCATCCCCCTGAGCTCCTTAGGCACTTTGGCTATATTCTCCACATTCCCCAGTGCATTAGCAGCCGATGCAAAAAGTGGTTCAGTGACCATAGCCATAGCGTTCTTGCTCTCATCCAACGCCTGGACAACGTGAACAACTCCAGGATGCCGTAGCCTCACAAGCCGGGCAGCATCGGCCCGAATCACGTCCAGGAACGCGTCCTCAGCGGTTTTCGAAAGCCCAGCCTTCTGTCGGGCCTCCGCCAGGATCCGCTTGTCCAATATCCACACGCAGACGATCGGATACACTGCCGGCAAGTGGCTGTCACGTGACTTAGCGGAATAAAGCTTCCAAGCCAGACCCGGCCCGGCTGAGCCTATCTGGTCTGAAAGCTCGTAGTCCTGTAACGCTCGAGGTAGACCGGTGACTTCTTGAACCGTGGTGTGAACAGTTTTTTCTATTACTGCAGAAGCCTTTGCGAAGGCCTGGCTCAGAGTCTTCATATTCAGGGACATGGTTGGGATTTCCTAGTGTGAATAAACTTTCTTTCAAGAATGATAATTGTGGGGGCGGCTGTACTGATGGCGGAGGAGGCGGTGGCAGAGGAAGATCGAAATTTAAACGTTCGAAGTCCGATCTCTCTCTGATCAGACGATCGAAGAAATGTATGCCACCGTTGGAAATTCAACTATTTTCATCGTTAGGCCATCACCTCCCCCAAAATTTGCACCAAATTTTACATCAAAACAAAATTCAACTGAACTCCAATCATTACTATAACCATTTTTTTCCCTTTTTTTATTCCTAATAATTTATTTATTTAAAATATTATTTATTTAATTATTTTATAAATACATAAATTACCAAATAAATAATTACATTAAATTACGAAAAAAAAATAGATTCATTAATAAATATAAAATATATAGTTCAATTAATAAAAACATTATAACAACAAAAATATTAAATCATGTCATAAAAAAATAGTGCAATGTATTTTGAATTTGAATAATACGATATTATGAAATCGCAAAATTTTTGCAATTTAATTCTCGAAATTCATATGTCCTTGTTTAATATATTTCATTTTAACTTCAAGAAATAATCGTCTCTGTCCTATTTTAAATTTTAAATTTTTTCTTTCTTTTAATTAATTCATTAATTATTATTTTTTACATTTTAAAATTTATTTTAAATGTAAATAATAATAATAATAATAATTTATTATATTAAAAATATATAGTACAAATAACAAAAATACTCTTAATCAATTTATTTGAGATACGCAAAGCAAGAATAAAAATGGCATTATACACTTTGCACCAAAATTTGGTGCATTTTGGTGAAATGGTGTATACATTGGAGATATCCTTAACACTAGTTTGCCCCATTTTCTCAAATTAAAATGTGTAAAATAGTTTTTTTTTCTTTTTTTAAATGAGTAGTTGAAAATAGAAGGAAAAATTTTCAATTTATGTGTAATATTATTTTATGAAAAAATATATGATTGAGAATCGGGGAGAGAGAAATAAAATTTAATTTAATGGGGACAAAACGGTATTTTTATGTAAATAAAAATCAAAAGAATACTTAAATATCTTAATTTTATCACTATACAGTTAAGTGGTCTATGACTCTGTATCATCTGAAATACACCAGAGATTTTATGGTTAGACGATTTTTTACTCCTATGAGTTTATCGACGTATCTAAACCTTATAGAAAACAATAAATTTATCTCACAAATACTCGAACTCGTTGATCTGAAATATCAAATATAAGAAAGGACGGAATAATTTAAAATAACTTTTCAAAATTTTATTAAATTCAATTTCAACTAATTGTCATAAAACTTACTCCCTCCATCTCATTTATATAGGTTGACTTTCCTTATTTTATTATTCTAATTATATAGTCATTCTTCTTTATTATGAAAAAAAAAGTTTTATCTTGTATGTATACTAATATACATTTAATTAATTTATCTAGTTATAATCAATTTTTCACACTTAATTTTGAAATTTTGTAAATGTAGAGTTACATACTTCTTGAAAATTAAATCATTCAACTTATTTACTACTACTCACAATAATTTACTACTAATTGTTGATAATTAAATAAGGGTAAATTAGAAAAGTTTTTAACAAAATTGTTTTTTCAATAACATTAAATGAGATTTATTAATTCATATGAAAAACAAAACAAACTTATATATATAGGAAGGAGGGAGTATAACTGACAATAAATGAAACTTAAATAATAATTAGACTATAATATAACAACTAACTCTATATAATGAAAAGATTTAATTAGGGATGTAAACAGGCATTGTGCGAATTGCGAGCCGACTCGCAACTCACACATAATCCGTGCAAAAAGTGGCTTTGGCTTTCTAGCTCAAACAAGCCGAGCCAAAGTTCGACAAAAAAATTGAGGCTACCAAGCCGAGCTGACTTGATTTGTTCTTTCAATTCACGAAATTCTAAATTCCTTTTTATGTATATAAATTTTGTACAATTTATATTAATTGTAGATTAAATAAAAGTTATAATCCTCATTTATTTTGGTCTGTGATCGACTACAATCAACATTTGAATTCCGTACAATTTTTGAGATAAATGAATTTAAATATTACATAATTAAGTCAACAAAATAATTTTAAAAATTACAATATCATATCCTATCCTAGATATTTAAGCAAAGAAGTTGAAGCCCTTGTTTGAGCCTCATTCTTTGGAGAAAATACATATTTAAACAGTGTTATAACATCGTTTCAGTTACATATATTTTAATAAAATAATATTATATGCAAATTCAAAATTTTTTGTTATTTTGTAACTATACATTTCCATCAATACACTACTCAAAATGCATTTTTTTGTGAAAAGAATGGGCTCAAACAAGGGCCAAAATTAAAGTTGAAAAATAGAATATTGTACGTTGAATATTGTTGAATTAAATTGATATTAAATCCAAAATTTTACCTTTTTATTTATAGCCAAAAAATAGCTCTTTTTACAAAATTTAAAATTCAAGCAGCTATAGCTATCAAAGTTAGGCAGCTATAGCTAATTGCTGCGTAAGCAAGTAGCATGGTTCGAGCATGCTACAGACAATTATAGTTGTTGTTGTCAACTTTTTGCAAGAAATCATAGTAGCTACTTGCAAAAAAAAAAGAAAAAAGACATGATCACAAGTTAAAATAGCCCTTGTCACGAGCAAGCTCAATGTCAAGCCATTTGCCTAAAAATAAGGCTAGACTCGACCTTAGCTCCGTGGAAACAATCTACAAATCGAATCGGCTTGGACTTTTTTTAGGTCAAGTCGTGAGTCGCCAAAGCCGACGAAGCGAATTGAAATCAAAGTTGTTCCTGGAGTGCAATTATCTAGAAGACTTATGTGCAAAAAAAAAAATGAAAAAAGAATCATTTGGCAGAGATTTTGCACCTAGGCGACACTTTAACTCGGGGATCATTTTGTATTTTCTTCCAAAATTTGGTGGCTTGACCTGCAATTTTTGAATATTTTAATTGTAAAAGCGGGCAACTAGGAGAAGAATTATGCTCTTTCTCTTTCATTTCCTTTTCTTTCTTTTTCTTGGCTTTGGGATACAACCTAGAGCACAAGGAGGAGCTATAAAAGGATTGGAAAAAAGCTTTGGAGAAGTCAAAACCAAGCTTTAAAAAACAGTTTTATCTATAATCTTATATTTTCTTCGTTATTTTACCAAACTTGTAGTACATTGTTATAAAGATTCTCTTTTTTATCATTTATTAGTCAAAGTTGAATTTGTATTGCACGTTATTCTAAAATACTTTATAAGTTATGTAAAAGAAATATTTGGTACCAATTTGTCAGAGGATTTGATGAGTTTCGGACAAATTGAAAAAAAAAATAGCATGGAAATTTATGAGAAGAAAATTGTACTCGAATTGTATTCTCAAAACTCAATTTTTATGATTCAAATTTTTTGTACTAATGAAATACTATAAATAAGTAATCTTTTTATATTACATTTGATGCATAAAAATTAATTATTAATACATAAATTTAAACACCCATTAAATTTTTTAGATATTTGAATATGAATAAATTCATTTTTAATAACTCTAGATTAATTTAAAATTCATAAACTGAAAATTCATTGAATCTAGGTTAATGTGAAATTAATTAAATGAGAATTAATAGCACAAATTTCATAAATGACAATAAATATGTAGTATTTATTATATATTGAAAAACGAAAAGTAGAGTATTATTAAAATAATTGAATTGTAGAGAGTTAAAATCATCCAAAAAATGATTCTCTCTTGATATGATATTTTAATATATTATAGATATAGCTCTTGTTTGAGTCCCATTTTTCATCAAAATACATTTTTCAACAGTGATTTGATTTCATTTCAACCACTTATTTTTTAATAAAATAATATTACACATAAATCCAAAACTTTTTCTTATTTTTTAATCATACATTCTCCATCAATACACTATTTCTAAATGCATTTTTTGGAAAAAAAAAATGGGGCTTAAACAACCCCTAAACATGGGCTAAATATTTGTGTTGGGATTTATGGTTAAAATTTAACCAAGCCTTAGTTTATTTCAATATTTGCTTTTTTAATATTAAAATGCTTATTTTCATGAGTTTTTACAATTGTTATTATTGCATTTCAATTTATGTGGCTAATGAATGATTGTATTTATCAATTTGTACATCGTTCAAGAGAAGATTGTACATTTTAGATCAAATAGTAGAAGTTCTAGATTTGTGTAAAGGTAGAGATATACCCCTAACCCTAAGTAATTCAATGAGCTATTTTTACAAAAATTTAATGCGGTTGTTTAGTTTTAATCAACATAGAAATATAGTATGTTAAACCAATTAATTATGTTTAATTTCATTCGAGAGAGGTAATTAATTAAAATTGAAAGATTGGATTTTACAAAGTAAATGAGTAATTTTCTTAATTGATTTGTGAATTAATTAATTAGGCGACGGTTAAACGAAACCATGAACCCCCAACCACATTTTTCTTCCAAAATTTCCAAGCATTTATGTTTTCTTATTTTGTAGATTTTTAGCCGATTTTTTTTTATTTTTCAAAATCAAAATTTATCTTGTGTTTGTTTTTATTATTAAAATCAAATTAATTAAAGTTATGTAATTGAAAGCAAACATTTCTTGGGGGATCGAAAAATTCGGATTCAAAAAGTCCACTTTATTACTTGAACGCGACCTGTGCACTTGCAATTTGCACTTGCATAACGAATAAGTTTTTGGCTCTATTGCGAGGAATGATTTTACTTTGATTATCACTTTAGTTAATTTTAGTTTTAACAATTTTTTTTTTTCATTTTTGGTTGCTTTTATTTTTAAGATCTTTTAGCTAACCCCTATAGTTTTTATCTATCTTATGTTTGTATTATCTTCTTGTATTTTTCAGATATTTGAATGATTCTAAATTGGTCAAATAATGAAACCTTTGCAATGAATAATCTCTACTTGGATTATGAAGATATGCTTGGCGGATATCCAATTTGTGAAAATTGTTATGCAATTCATTGCACTGGGCCATGCTTGTTTTTGTACACTGATTTACGCACGTCAAAACTTCTTAGGTTTAGAAAATATTTAAAGTGTTGAAAACAAGCAATTGACATAAATGATGAAGAGTACGTGCTCGCGGGAGATTTTGTACCTTACAATTGGGAAGATGACATCAAACTTGTGGGATTTGGTCCTCCT